AAGTGCTCCACAATTTTGTGCTACCTTACAATCCCTGGATGCTTCTTGACTTCTCGTCACTCCTCGAGTTCTACCTCGAGCTCCTTGATGTGGTTCTGGCGAATATTTGGGGGCTTCTCCATTCGAAGAACTACCGTGACACGCTTGACACAATCGATTATCTCGAAAATCTCGGAATTATGAAGCCACGATTCCTTACTGGCTAATAAAACATTTAATTTAATTGTATAAATTTACTCAATTAAAATATTATCTATTATAGTCACATTACTCAGTTTTAGAACGTTTTCTTTCAGTACATTATTTAGTTCCGAATCACCTGATCCATCAGAATAGCTACAGACGAACAGCCCAATTTCTTATCAGTTTATTTCTGATCATATGAAACTCGCCAAGCCTGGCTGGTTTTTATACGTTTTTATTTATTGCCAGAACAAAGAAAATCCAAAAAACGGATCTTCTAAGTAATTTTGAAATTGATTTCTCAAACCTGCCTGTGTCTAGGCGGTGAGATTAAGAGATCTTTGTCGAATAAACGACATTGATCTGAATTTTTCCTAAGTTCCATCATCTCTTATCGTTCAGTAACGTATTTTCAATGTTACCTTCGAAATAATGTCGCAATTCTCATTAGACAAGGCCTCATTATAACATTTCCGATTTTCAGGCTCGATAATACTTCGATTTTTCAACCGCCGATGATTAACAGATAGTGGAAGACTATATTAAGGCTTAACGAGATACCAAACACTAGTCATTCAGTCATGAACCAAGCGAAAGAATACGCCGAAACGAACGCTATCCAGTTTCGTCATGTGGCGGAACTGGTGGATGAATTTCCTAAGGAGTTCAAAAAAATGAAAGGTCGAATTATCGATATTGGCTGTGGTCCTGGAAATATCACCAGAGATGTACTCCTCCCAAATGTCGACAAGGATGCTGTTATTGTTGGTAAATATTATATGTTGGCATATTAACAGAAATCATTTTTTAGAATAGATTTTTTTTCAATCAAAGAAGTCGATAAATTCATTGTCCAATCACAACATTTCACTTAACATTTAAAATTTTTCATTATTTATGAATGAACCCGAGAAATATACGATGAATTGTGAATTCTCTTACAATAAAATACAAATAGAAACAGGTACATAAGACTGAAAAAAATTTAAAAAGTTGCATCGAATCTATAATTTTTATAAAATTATAAAAAGCTGACTAAGGTCTCTTCTTTTACAGTCTAAAAATAAATTACTTCTGGACAGTCAAAACTCTCCTTTTGAGAAATATGAATATGAATTTTTCATCCCAGTGACTTCCTTTTTATAAAATTACTGAGACGGTGTATTTTACCTACAGTTTCATAAAACCAGTCTGAGCAATATTTTTCTACAATGTATCTAGTACCAGTTACCAGAGGAATCGTGAAGAGCACTATCGAAAAAATATTGATTGTTCATCTTTTTTATCCATTAGCAGAGATTAACTAACTGATTTTGTCTGCAGGTGCTGATGTATGCGCAAACATGATTGAATATGCAAAACAGCATTATGGAGTTGATGATAAATTGTCCTACCTTCAATTAGATATCCAAACACCTGAACTGCCAGAAAACTTGATTGAACACTTTGATAACGCAGTGTCGTTCTATGCCCTTCACTGGTGCAAGAATACAAAACAAGTATTGAAAAACATATATAAACTCCTTCGTCCAGGGGGTAAGGCCATCATTCTGACAATTTCACATCACATGATCTACGATATGTATCCGGAACAGGAAAACGATCCAAGATTTGCACCATACGTAAAGGTAAAATTCATCCGTAAATTTACGTCTTCTTTTAAGAATGTTCATTTCATGGTTCGAATTTCTCCAGAATTCAATGAAGTGGGCACCTCCTCACCAGGGCTGTTCGGATGCTGAGCAGATCATGAAGAAAGATTTAATTGAAGCTAAATTCAACGTGGAGTACTGCACTAACAAATGGGAAACATTCAAGTATCCGAGTTTTGAGGCTTTCATGGGTAAGGTCCATATGCAGAATTAATATCTTGAAATGATTTGAAAAATCTTTTTGATTTTCCCTCCAAAATCAAATAATATACTCGCTTTCAAAGTTGCACCCTTTTTTTCAATTCACTAAATATATCTGACAAAAATTTTCCACCAAATGCCACAGTAGTGGTCTCATTGGAATCATTCAGGGGGATTTTAGAGACAAAATTTTGTTCAAATTATTTACTATGAAAATAGGGAGTTATTGAGGTTGGAGAAGTTAGAGAATAATAAATAAATTAATTTAAATAATGCATCTGAGTTGAAGTGAGAAATTTCACAACTTTTTCAAGAGC